TAGTTCTTGTATCTCCATACCAGCCATGATTTTATAGATTTCTATCTTATTCCCTCCTTAGTCTCCTCTAAGCTAAGAAGTTCCAGTTTTACTATTCTCTCATATGGCAGTTATTCCAAATCCCTAGTCACTTTTGTTGCCCTTTTCTGAATTTTCCAGTGCCAAGATCTTTGAGAGGTGACCACATCTGCACACAGTATTCAACATGTGGGGCATACCATGGATTTACAGAAGCAATAAGATTCTCTAGCCCTTTAATTCCTGTTTGCTGACTGCTGCTGCACCATGGATAGTAGAGCTGTTAGATATCAGATTATTGAATAGTCATGTAACAGCATGAATTATTGGTTAAACAACTATTCAATAGTCCCTGGGAACGGGGCTGGCAGCCAGTGCACTCCACTCAGGGAGCCCCCTGCCACCCTGCAGTTACACAGGACTGGTCCCAGTATGAAACCCCACAAGACATTACCTCTCTCCTTTCTGAGAATCTCCTTTCTGAGATTCTTCTTTCCAGAAAGCCAAGTACACTATATCCACAGGATCCCCTTGTCCACATGCTTGCTGACTCCCTCAAAGAGCTCTAGTAGATTGGTGAGGGATGATGCCCCCCCCCCCCCCCCCATGTTATATTCATCTGTGCATCTGACAATTCTGTTCAATAGTTTCAATTAATATGCCCAATCTTGAAGTTCGATTTACTGGTCTGCAATTACCAGGATCACCTCCAGAGCCCTTTTAAAAAATTGGCACCACATTAGCTATTCTCTATTCATTAGGTAGAAAAGAGGATTTAAATAATATATTTATTACTGTACAGCTACTGTTAGTAGTTCTGCAGTTTCACATTTGAGTTTTCATGACTACCATCTGGTCCTAGTGACTTGTTACAGTTTAGTTTGACCTTTCATTTAGAAGATTTTTGGAACACATTGACAGTGACAAATCTGAAGAATTGTCCCCTAAAGAGAATGGCTCAGGTTTGGGAATCTCCCCAACATCCTCAGCTGTAGAGACCAATGCAAAGAATTCAGTTAGTTTCTCTGTAATAACCTTATTGTCCTTGAGTGCTCCCTTAGCATCTCAATCTTCCAGTGGCCCCACTGGTTGTTTGGCTGTCTTCCTGATTCTGATATCCTTAGCAGATTTTATTTTTTGGCTAGCTATTCTTCAAATCCCCCCTTTTTTTTTTTTTAAACACACACACTTTGTGAGGTTATGCTTCTGTTTTTCCTCACTATAATTTAACTTCCACTTCTTAAAGAATGCCTTTTTCCTCACTGTTCCTTTTTCTTAGTTAAGCAAATCACAGTGGCCCTTTTCTGGTTCTCTTACTATGTTTTTTAAATTTGGGGTATACATTTAAGTTGAGCCTCATTATGGGGTCTTTGAAGTTTCCATTCAGCTTGCAGGGATCTCTCTTTTGGTACTGTACCTTTTAAATTTGTTTAACCTCCTGATTTTTGTACAGTTTCGCTTTCTAAAGTTAAATGCTACGGGGTTGGACTGGTTTAGCATTTGTCCTATCACAGGGATGTTAAATTATATTATGGTCACTATTTCCAAGTAGTCCAGATATATTCACCTCTTGGACCAGATCCCACCCTCCCACTTGGGACTAAATCAAAATCACCTCGTGGATTCCAGAACCAGCTGCTCTAAGCAGCAGTTATTTATGGCATCAAGAAACTTTATTTCTGCATCCTGTCCTAAGGGGATGTGTATATGGGCAATATGGGGATAACTGAAATCTCCATTATTATTATTGCAGCGTTTATTTTTATAGCTTCTAACCTCCCCTAGCATTTCATAATCACTATCGTTATCCTGGTCAGTAATCTATCTCTACTGCTATATTCAAATTAGAGCATGGTATTACTATCCATAAAGATTCAATGGAACAGTTTGGTTCATTGAGAATTACTTCATTTGATTCACACAGTGCTGCTCCCCCATCAACATTACCTGTTCTGTCCTTCCAGTATGTTTTGTACCATGTACCCATTCTACCACGCTTCTGTGATGCCTATGTCAATATCTTCATTCAGTACAGGTCATGCTAAATCAGCCTTTTTATTTAGACTTCTGGCATTTAAATATAAAGCACTTTTAAAGTCTTCTCAATATTTAGCTGTCTGCCATTTCCTTATGCGACTCGTTTGACGGATCTCAACCATACTTTATCTGCCATCCTCTCCTCTTTATTAGGACACAGATTCTCTATTAGACTCCCAGTAAGGTATGTCTGTCCAATCCATGTGCTCCACCACACCTGTTGGCTCTCCCCTCAGTTTAAAACCTGCCCAGTGATCTTTTTCATTTTAATTTTAAGGTGCCAGCAGTCTGGTTCCATTTTCTGAATATGGCAGTGGTTCCCAACCTTTTTTATGCCAGGGATTGGCAAACACATTCACAAACCTTGGGTGGACTAGTAACACTTTTATTTGCATAATGAATATGCAGATACAGTAATTACTCATTTAACACGTGCCCACTTAACACATTTTCACAATAGCACGATTTTATTTTTAGGGAGTGTTTTTTGAACACCACAACCGTCCCCGAAATAACACGAAAATAATCAAGTGACAGACTACATGCAGCAGTACAAGTTGGTGAAAAGAGTGGTAATACGCATGAGCGGCTGAATACACGTGGTAACAGCGCTCCTCCGCTCACTCAGATGTTTATCTTTGTGTCTGCAGTGACTGGTGTTGCTAGATATCTAATGCTGACATTGACAACCCAGCACCACCAAAAAAATTACTTTTCCACCACCACCACCACCTGAAATGCAACCCCCACCTTTTCCATTATTTTTTAATGGGAAATTGACCCTGCATAGCACGTTTTTGCTTAGCACGAACATTTTCAGAAGTGTATCTACAGAGTTAAATGAGGAATTACTGTACAATGTTACCTGACTGCCTGCCCCAACCCATCCCCTATGCCCCATTAACCTCTGACACCTATAGCCCATGCTAACACCCTCTTACCATGTGAGCCCACCTCATCCAACACTCCAGAGGAGCATGGCTGTTACTGCCTTGCAGAAAGGGGGAGTGGCTGTTGCCTCCCCAAGCACCTTTTCGAAGTTTCTGGAAAAAAGTCAGTTATTTTTCCACAACTATAGCTCGAGACTATTCATATCATGATAATTAGAACTATAACATGAAGTGGTCCTGTGAGCCATTCTGAAACCTCCATTTTCAGTTTAGTGAATTTTCTCCCCCTTGTCTGGAGTTCAGAGTCTTCTAGTGAGCAACCCCACTGGCAAAGGCAGGTGCTTAGGAGTGGCTGTAAAGGTCTTCCCAGGAAAAAAAAAAAGTCTATCAAAGCATATGAAAAGTGGGCAATGCCCACACCTTGGACAATTTGTGTGTGTGGGGCCTCAGGGTGTCCAGAAGGGTCAGGCTGGGGCTCTGAAGTGCACTGCTCTAGCAGAGACTGTAAGATTGCCTAGGGAGGGCCATGACAGAGGGGGAAGGAAGGAGGCGCCTCCTTCTTTGCCTCCTCCTGCCACCAGCAAAAGCTGCCGCTAGGGCAGAGTGTGAAACCCCAGCTGGCTGCCATTACCGAGGGAGGTACCTCTTTGTCTGCCTCATTGTTGCCAGCAAAAGCAGCTGTGTGGGCAGGGGGAAGTGTCCGTTGGTGGCACGCGCACTCCCTCCTCCTTCCCCAAGGGCAGAGGAGGGAGGAAAGCGCCTCCTGCTCCATTTCAGTCACCATGGCTGCTGGAGCTGAGCCGCTGCGAACAACCAGCTTGAGCTTTGGTAGCTGCTGTGAGTGTCAACAGCCAGCAGGTTGCAGCCCAGCAGCTGGGAATTGCTGATTTATGGAGTCTATCCTTCCTGTATAGACTCCTTTTTCCCAAAAAAAGTTTTCCCCAGATCCTAATAAAGCAAACCCTTCCTCCCTACACCATTATCTCATCTCACCCATGCACTGAGACCCTGTAGTTCTGCTTGGGTATCTGGCCTTATACATGGAATTGAAAGCATTTCAGAGAACACTGCCACTGTGGTTCTGGATTTCGATCTCTTTCCTAGCAGCCTAAATTTGGCTTCCAGGACCTCTCTCCTATACTTCCCTATGTCATTGGTACCTATGTGTACCTCAGCTACCAGCTCCTCCCAGCACTACACAAGTCTATCTAGAGGTCTTGAGAGATCTGCAACCTTTGCACCAGGCAGGCAAGTCACCATGCAGTTCTCCCAGTTACCACAAATCCATCTGTCTGTTTCTAATGCTAGAATCCCCCATTTCTAACAGCCACCTTTTCCTAAGGACTAACCCCGCAGAGGTTGAGAGGATACCACAACATCTGAAAGGTGAGTCAACTATGGAATCGTTTCCCTCTGCTCCAGTTGGATGTTCTCCTTACCGGACACTTTCACCCTCATCACCACAGATGCTACCTGACTGGGGGTGGGACCATTCTACGTGTCCCGGAAAGCCTTAAACATGTACCTCTGCGCCTCCCTTAGTACCTCCAATTCAGCCACCCTGGTCTCTAAAGTGTATGTGGTCTGAGAGACAGGAGCTCCTTGCACGAAAATAAACACATACACCACCTGCCAAATTCACTGCTTAATTATTTGCTCCTTTATCTTTCCTGGTACAGAAGTCAAGCTGACTTGTCTTCTGACATTCCAGCTTGTATCTGCCAAGCTAGTGATGTAAAGTTAACCCAGTTTTCTTCCAGCTCAAAGATGATCATTAAGGCAGCCCCCAACAGTTTGCCTGGGCCAGATATTGCCCATTAATACATTCCACTTAAACCCTGGTACGGCAGATGTGGATGCTTGGAGCACTGTCGCTGAGATCACTAAGTGTCATGTATGGAGAGGAGAAGAAATAGTATATTACAAGGTGAGGCAGCTAACTGTAGCCGTTTCAGGTTTTACAACACAAGACCCATGTGACCTCTGGGTAGTCTTTTAGTCACATCTTCCTTTTCATTTACAAATACAGAAAGCTAAAACTGTAGCAATTCTTACCATTTGGATGCCAGATTTCTGTGATGAACTTCATTTTCGGCGGCCTGAGAGGATAGTCTTTTGGAAAAGTGAGATGAGCCTTGAATACGCCACCTTCACTGGGGAATTAAAGAATTATCAGTAAGTAGTTCTTTGGAAGTCTCAAACAAGAAAATTAAGCCAGAGTGACATTTTTAACCTCTATTAGATGTAAACCTTTTGTAATGTTGGCATCCATTGTAATTGTATTAGCTTACACAATGGATGGTTAAGAACCTTTTACAAGCTACTCACCATCCCCTCCTAATACTCAGACTACAATATGGAACATTTTATTTTTGCAGAGCACAAAGCTTCATTATAACAATTCCACAGAGCTCTCAGCTAGCTCAGTGATTAAACATTTAGAGCCACTGGTTACAAATTCACCTGCCTGACTCCCACTGCCTTATATTGGCTGGCGATACCGTCAATACTTGCAATTCAACTCCCAGCAGAAGAATAAGCATACAACTTAGTCAACTCTTCAATTGATAGGCCTGCTCTATAGCTAGGTTTACTGGTGCAGTACCGAGTTATGAATACCAACTAAATCAAGGAATCTCAGGAAAACTTGCTAAACTGTGTCCAGGGCCCTTACCACCATCATTTTTTTACTGATTCTTCCAATGGCAGATTTCTGCACTTGGATACCCGTGGGCTCCAACAGCACAGTCAAGTTATTTTCTAGCATTAGTAGAGAGAATCTCTGTGTTATCCAATTTAAATGGCTACGTGTGAGTTAAACAAAAGAGAGGTCCCGTCCTATCCTGGCATAGATTAGGTACAAATGCATCCATACTCAAAAGCCTAACTAATTTGGTTGTTTAAGTAGGAAGGTTTGAAGCCAAGGAAGCTAATTTTGGTAGCCAACCCCTATGCAGATAGAAACCCTAGAAATAAGCAAAGATTTCACATTAAGGCTTGTCTCCTCTTACCACACACTGCCTTTATTCCTACTGCAACTGAACATATACTTCATGGACAAGGCCTATCACTGAAAGTTGGGAAAGCAGGGTGTTGAAACTCTCATGCTATTGGCAGACTATGACAGCGTTCTCTCACGGTTGCCACTGTCAGCTCAAACGGCTACATCTTTAGAGGCCTAGATTGCTAATGAAGATTAAGACTCTACAATCTGAAGTTCAGACATTGATAGGATGTGGGATACTCATGATATATTACTGCCTGATTATAAGAGGAAAGATTGAAGCAGAGTGCTGTTCACAAAGAGACAGCTAAATACTGATACCTCTGCATTAGTTTATTGTGCTATCAAGAAATCCTAAATCCCTGGGAGGGAAACAGAATTAGTGGCTTGGGTATTATACATGGTATTGAGTTTTAAGAGGCTCTACAATCTACGTTCTCCTATTGGGGATTTTTTTTTTTTTTGGACAACACTGATGTACTTCTCTGGGTGATATTCATTGTAAAAAGGTCTCATTCTCATAGGAGTGAGAACTTAAGTCCCTAAAGGAGAAGGCATTGCTGAGACATGCATTAAGCCAACAATTAACTCCTTCAGACAGAAAAGCTATTGCTATAAGCAAGCTGATGTGCCTTTATTAATAAAACCCTACAACTTCGCAGTTTATACTTCTTATTAAAAGTTAGGACTCATAACAGGTGTTTCCCATTTCATACTGGGCAGTGAACAGAAAGACCGACAAGACAGGACTCTCTGGCTTGTGAATCCAGATGCTTACAGAAACAAGCTAGAAAGATAAGTTCTGTTTAAAAGTAATTAAGTCACATAGTCTAATGGTTAAAGAAGGAGTCAAGCTCTCAGAGTTTACTTAGTTTGATCCCCAGACTCACACCTTGAACAAGTTGTTCAGTTCCCATCTGAAGTCAGCAAAGCTGAATGACAATAAGAATAGGCCATTTCCTGGGAATAGGAAACTGAATGGAGTGCAGCAGTCAAAGTCAACCAATTGTGTCCTACTTCGGTACCAAGTTGCAGAGTGTGTTTCATTGCAAGCTCAAAGCATGTCAACAATTGAAATTTGGAGATCATTCTTTCAATCAGTCAAGTAGGGGCAATGCCTCCCTCACTGAGGCAGCTGCTGGCCTTTCCCTGCTGCAGATGCTTAGCAGTCCCCTGCAGAAAGCAAATCAGTATTCTTGGCATTGGATTAGTCCTGGATCCTCTACTACCAGGCTGAGCTGGGAGCAGGAAGCTTTTCAGAGAAAAGGATATACCTTGTTTGAATGCCTGAGCCTAGGGCAACATTTATCAAGTTAGGGATCCCCAGAGGAAGTTACAAGGCTAGTAGGGGGGCTCGTGATATTGCCACCCCCACTTTGTTGCTGCCTTTAGAGCTGAGCAGTCAGAGCAGCAGCTACTGGCCAGGTTCTCAGCTAAAGGCAGCACAACTGCCAACATCAACACAGAAGGAAGGATGCCAAAGTATTGGGAGGTAGGGGTAGGTCAAAAAAAGTTAGAGCGCCCCTGGCCAAGGGAATACCTTGCAGAAAGTGGTTACTCCTTCACACAGGCATTCATGAGAAGGAAGGGAAACAGGAAGGTGAGAACCTAACAAGTTAGAGCTTCCAGATTCTCTGCACAACTGTAATTCTAAGCATATTATCTACAAAGTGACCATTAACATCCCTAATCAGTGGGGGCATGCCCAGGCCCACCGCACATGCACACGCACACGTACACAGCTGCTCCAACCTGGCTGGAGCCCCCCTCCTGCCCTGGCCACAGTGGGCTGCTCCCAGGTGGCTGAGGTAGGCCTCAATCGCAGTGCAGGAGGGAAAGCGGAGAGCACTCCATTTAGCTGGTTAACCAATTGAACTTAATGTTTAGCCGGTTAAACAGGATTTTACATCCCTAATAAAGAGTGCCACCCTGAATTACAATTTACATTTGGCTGTCTGCTGTTATGAAGATGGTATCATGGCATCTTATGTGCTCTCATATCTGTGCAATCCATTTGTCAAGAAGCAAGGTCACAAACCGATATCCGACTGGCATGCTCCTACTGGAAATATGGCACACTGCTTGGCCCTTCCCACCTACTACCCCACTGAAATTTTCATGACAGTCACTCAAAATTATCAAAACCTTTGATAGACCTGAATGAGAGCAGTTTATTCCTGGCTCTGTTTTGAAATACTTATGCCACATGAGTTGAGATGTTGCTTATGGATGCCTGAGGCATTTACACTAAATACCTCTTCCTGTGCTTTCAGTTTCAGCTCACCTTGTATGCCCCCAAAAAGTCCAGCACCCCCACTTCTGATGTGACCTGTCCATCAAAGCTGAGCTTCTGATAATCATTGTCTCAATGTGGTTTGTTTTGTTTTTTCCCAGGATGAAAAGTTTGATACTTGGTCTTGCCAGCAGACCTTCAGAAGAGAGCAAAGACAGCATTTCTCACATCTGCATAAAGGGAGGCTACAGTGTATATCAGTTTCGTTGACAGTTTGATGATATGCTGATTGAGTAACCTATGATGAATGATTCAAAAAGCCTGGAGTGCTTCTAATTTTTTGTTTGGTATTTCTTGATGTAAAGAACTAGTATTACGTGAAGTGTTTGACATTCTTTTTATACCACTGAGGGTAATGTTAGTGCAGTGGCTGTGGTTGATGGGACTGGTTAGAAGAGTATTTCATTTTTCCCCCCCCCCATGTTGATGGTGAATCCAAATTGTTTGGTTGCCTTTGAGAACCTGCCCAAGATTGCCTGCAGATCACTTAATCTTAGTGTAAGTAGAACACAATGAGCCACAAAAAGGACTTCAACATACTGGTTCCTCAAGGGCTTGTCATAAGCTTTTGGAGACTGAAGACTCTTGTCTGTTCTTTACCTAAGTAGATGCCCTTTGGAAGGTTGTCATTTGCATAATTCAGAATGGCTGTGAAGAGGCCCCAAAAGGACTGGTGCCAGCATGCAGCTTGTTTCAGCCCACTAGATATAGGGGAAATGGTTTGAGAAGCCTCTATTTTGTGGGTTTAAGAGAAGTACCTCTGAAGACTGTTGGATAGTTGCCATGGGAATTGCTTTTAAATGGTCCTCATTTACAGCCAGCTTTCAACATGCTAATGGCCACACTGGATCAAGACCAATGGTCTATTTAGCCCACTATCTTGCCTTCTGAAGCATCTGGTGCCAGCCACTTTCAGAAGGAACGAACAGAACAGGGCAATTTATTGAGCACTCCAACCACAGTCATATGCTATGTCTAGACTGAACACTTTTTTCGACAGAGGCTATGTCAACAGATACTGTCGACAAAGCCTCTGTTGAAAAAGAGCGTCTAGACGACAGTCAGTATTGTCAACAAAGATGCTTTTTTTTTTTTTTTTTTTTTTTTTTTTTAAAGAGTCTAGAGGCTCTTTCAAAAAAGCAGTTTGCATGCAATAGCGCCTTTTTTCAAAAGTACTTTTGAAAAAAAGGCATTATTCCTCGTAAAATGAGGTTTACTGATGTCAACAGAATGCGGCGGTAGTATAGATTCAGTTATAGTTTTGTCGACAAAAGCCAACTTTTGTTGACAAAACCCTGTAGTCTAGACATACCCATACAGTCCCAGATACTGGAAGACAGAGGTTTAGGGACAGCCACAGTAGGGCCGTGTCCAGACTCAGGGTTTTTTCAGGAAAAGTGCCTTTTCCCGAAAAAACTTCCCCTGCGTCCAGACTCAAGCCACGTTCTTTCGAAATTATTTCGAAAGAACACGGCTTTTCTTTCGATGGCGGTAAGCCTCATTTCACGAGGAAGAACGCCTTCTTTCGAAAGCTCCTCTTTCGAAAGAAGGCGTTCTTCAATGTAAAGAGGCCGTCTTCGAAAGAGAGCATCCAGACTCGCTGGGTGCTCTTTCGAAAAAGCGGATTTCTCTTTCGAAAGATCCGCCTGCAGTCTAGACATAGCCTAGGAGGGCTGCATACCCGACATATTGGCTAATAGCCATTGTATGCACTTACCACAACTTGCAGTTAACCTATGGAATTCTGCCAGGGGATGTAGTGAAAGCCAAAAGAATTAACACGGAGAACAGATTCCTCAAGGACTATTAGCCAAGATAGTCAGGCATATTACCCCCTACTGCAAGTGTGGATCAGAGGATGGATCACTCAGACTCCCTGGTTCTGTTCATTCTCCTGATGCATCTGGCACTATCAGCTGTCAGACTACTGATCAATTAGGACCATTCTTATTTGACAACTGGGTGCAAAGTAAGAATATGAAAGTAACCATGTACACAGTAAACAGATGAGCCTGGGCTCATTGGTTAATGTTCAGTTACATGCAGGCTCCCGATACACATGGGGAGTCAGATTAAAAGCCAGCCCCTGTGGAGCAGACTGCCACCCTGTGTGTAACCACTGAACATTTCAGTGGCTACATGGTTGCTTATTAAAATTTTAACATCCCTAGTGCAAAGTAAAGATTAATGAGGAACATGAAACAGTGTGACTATTCCATCTTTGAAGCATTACCTCTTCTACACCTCACAAAGCTGTGAGTGGGCAGCAGCAGCAGCCGCCATGTCTTGACCCTTTAAACTGGTGGGCTAAACCAGGCAGAGGCTTGCCTTGAGGAGAAAGATCTATTCTAAACATACTAAATCTTTGGCAGACTTTGGAATGGCACTGTAAAGACATACTGTGAAATACATAAGGCTTGACAAGGCACAAAAGACATCAGTGGTTATCTGCTGCAGCTAAATCAAGTTCAGTTGTTTCAACCTTTTGAGAGAGTGGTCTTGGACATTCTATTTATGGTTGGAGCCAAGTAATTTTTGTAGCACTCAAAGGCTTCAGTCAGCTATTGATTACTATCTGGTCAATATTTCATTGTAACAAAGTGAAATATCAGTTAAAGCACGGGCTTCAATAGCACTGTGCAGGAAGAGTACTGGAAAGACAGTGGTTTAACTCAGATACAGCTTCTGCTTCATTAAATAAAGATTTAGGACTTGCCAGAAGGGCATTTAAGTAGCCTTTTGGGGGGGCGGGGGGGAGATAAAAGCTTATCTTGACAACTGTTACCCATCCATTTATATAAGTAATGTTTAGAAACGTTATGAATGTGCCCTTATAAAAAAATTTCTAAGTTGAGTGAGTTGGAAAGAGGAATATGCATTCTGAACTTGTGCGCCAAGATTCATGAGCGGAGAGCACCTTGCATGACAGAAGAACTATCCTCTAGTATCACTCCCAAATCCTTAAGTGGATTATTTGGAGCCTTGTTGGGCATGGGAGGAAAGCACCATAGCTGACAGATCTGCTTTAAAAGGAAGGCTAAGCGTACTAGATAACAAAATGGCAGATGAAATTCAATGCTGATAAATGAAAAGTAATGCATATTGGAAGACCAGTCTTAACTATACATATAAAAATGAGGGCATCTAAACTCACTATTACCTTGCAGCAGTAGTCAAAAAAGAAAACAATGTTGGGAATCATTAAGTAGTGGTAGAGAATACATTTCATATTTCCATTGTATGCCCACATCTTGAATACTGAGTACAGATGTGGTCACCCATATTGAGAGAAAGACAATGGAATTGGAAAAGGTTCCAAAAAGGGCAAAAGTTAGGGGTATGAAACAGCTTCAATATGAAGAGAGATTAATAAGACTGGAACTTTTCAGCTTAGAAAAGATGATTAAGGGGGATATGACAGAGGTCTATAAAATCATGACTGGCATGAAGAAGAGTGTTTACCTCTTCCCATAACATGAGGGCTAGGGGTCACCAAAGAGGCAACAGGCTTAAAAAACAAAAGCAAGTATTGCCCATAATATGCAGTCAACTTGTTGAACACCTTACTCCACAGGATGTTGTGAAGGCCAAGACTATACCTGTTCAAAAAAGAACTAGATGCATTCATGGAGGACAGGTCCATCAGTGGCTATTAGGACACCATCCCTGCCCATCCTGGCTATCTGTTTGCCAGAAGATGGGAATAGGTAACAGGGGATGGATCACTTCATGGATTACTTGTTCTGTCCATTCCTTCTAGAGCACCTGGCATTGGCTACTGTCAAGATAGGATACCAGGCTAGATGGCCCTTTGATCTGACATTGGTATGGCTGTTCTTTGAGCAAGTAGAGGATCCTAAAAGCCCCTGTATTGCCTCCCCACCCAAAGTCAAATAAATGCACAATGAAGGGTGGTTTTCCCCATGCTCCGTGGAACAAGTAACCTCTTTAGAGCTTGCAAATAGTTGCAAGGTAAGATTCAGCACACATCCAGTAATGCAACAACAATGTCTGCTATAACAAGAGCACCAAACCATTAAAGCCTTACTCTTAAACTAGAGTTAAACATGAACACTACACATTGGTTAGAATCTCAGCATGAAGTTAACATGCCAGGGTACACTTAGTTTTACTATTATTGCTAGTACTTACTACAGTGTATCTGGAGGACCAATAATGAGGACTTCCCATCGGTAAAGATCATTGTCGTCTATTAAACCTGCGGAAAAACCTTCCACTGGATTTTTGTTGAGCTCTGTTTAAAAAGCAAAAGAGAAAAAAGGTTGTGAGCCTTTGTGCTCGTTAATACAGTGTGCATATTTAGCAACTAGCATAAAGAGGTTGAGTGGACTGGTTATAAAAAGTCACTGATTGGGGTTTAGTATCCCTTAATTTGTGAACATTTTTATACCTCCTTAGGTTCAGTCACTGATCTGCTTTCTTCAGAAGAAAAGCTCAAGATCTAGGAGAAAATCCCAAGAAGGCAGGTGCCAGAATAAGTTTAAGGTTCAGGCAATGCTAGAGGACTTGCAGACCTCAATCTTGACAAAATAAGCAATGTTAATTATGTAGTGCAGTGTTCCTAAAATGTTGGAGGGTACATTTTATTTTAGCTTTACAAGCCACAGCACAAGAGCAAGATTGAAGACATTATTCTTGCAGTATTTGAAGAGTTAGTATTTTTAACCAGTACTTTTTTCTTTTGAAGGGACTGAAAAGCGTTTCAGGATCCAAGAGAGTAGCAGAAGCAGCTAAGTGTCTGACAACTTAGTCGGAAGGTAGTGGGTTCACAGGGTTCAATAGGAGCAGAGATAGTCTAGGGGGATTACGGTTGGGAGAAAGACTAGAGGAGTCTAGTGCCAGGGATTATATTTTATATCACCCTTATCCACTCGGGAGGGGAGAAGGGGTTATTTGTATCTGGCTTGCTGTGCTTCTAGGCTGGCCATATACATTATGGTGATTGCTGGATGGGAAAAATGTGCATTGGGAGTAGTGTTTCTTCATTTTTGGAAGAACTACCAATTTTTTTTGAATGACAGATTTTAAATGTTGCATCTTAATACAGAATGGTAATTTTTAATATAGGGTTACATTACCATTCCAGGACTGGAAATAGCTGCAAAGATTTAGGAAACCTTTGCACCTGCAGTCTTGTTTTGTATTTGGGAAAGGAAGAATCATTGCTCCTTTCAAGTAACTGTTCAGCAATAAAATCTAGGACAATTATATGCACATTGCTAAAACCACTAAATACTGCCAGTTGCAACAGGACTACAGAAGCCAAATGTATGCTTTCACAACTATTAGTTCACTAAAAAAAGATGATATACACAAGTTAAGAGCCAGTCATCTAATGCAGGTTACAGCAAAGTTACTTGGTTGAATTACAGGTTCTACCCAAATTAGGCCTCAAAACTAACACTGATGTTTATCTTTCTAGAAAAAAAACCAAATATCCCTTAGCAGAATCATTACATAAAAATGAATTAGTATTGAACTGAGAAGCTGGATTTGCACTTTATACAGCTTTGCTGAAAAAGCTGCAGGTTATAGGTGAAGTCCAAGGAATGGATAGTCTAGCTTTTGGGGAATAAAGTATTTGCTGTTAGTACCGTTTCTCCAGAGATGATGACACTAACTTGTATTTTAAATAGCAAATTTAAGAATAAAACCCTATTTTACAGTCATAATGTACTTGACTTAATGCTTTTTATTTTCTACAGGTTACCCATAAACAATTGCAGAGGCCAGGGTCAGGTCACAGAAATGCAGTAGCCAGGTGTAGGTAGTGAGATTGAGAATTCCACTAGTAATTTGAATATTGAAGTTCCCTGGTTGAAAATTGGCACTAACACTGAAGACTGGACTCTTAAAATAAGACTAAGCCAAGACAAGCAACCATCACTTAATTTACCTGTGGTTCTTGAGTGCTTTGTTTTCATGGACTTGGGTACACTTATACACCAGACTGGAACCTTTTTAACCAGTCACGAGAGACGTGGCTAGGCATCTCTCCCACAGAGCATAAAGGGTGGAGCAGCCCCAAATACCATTCAGTTCTTTGCCACAAACCCAATTAATAGGGCTGCATAGCAACGAGGAAAGGAGGTCGATTGTGGCAAACACCTTTTAATATCCCTAGTGCATATTTTGGTAAATGTGTAACAGCTCAAGTTTTTAGCAGTTACATGTTTAGATAGGGGAAGGCAGCTCCTTGGGAGCCAGTGCCCACGGGGACCTGGCAATTGAAGCACAGTATGTGTAAATAGCATGCCATAACTTCAGATGTTTAGGCCAGTTCACAAGCTGGCATCCCGCACATACCAGCTCCCAGTCCCCTTCCACCAGCCTGCACTGGTCCCCGCAAGCACTGGCTCCCACCTGCGCTACATGCAGGCCCCCTCTGCTCCCTTCTCCCTCGCTGCCTTTAACTGTGGAGGTTAACAGATGAGCCCAGACTCATTGGTTAACCATTTATACATGTACACTATCACATCTCTAGAAAGCACATGAGCAGAACAATTTGAAGACTGCAGTTAGATATCTTATTGGCTTATTGTATCTACTCCTTGTCCCACACATGGATATATTGGTATTCAAAGATTTGTTGGATTGCCTATCAGCCTAAAATAGATAGGAGTCCTACATAAGCAGTGATCACATCTAGAAGTCAATACCATGGAGTATTGACTAGTAAAAATATACATTGAGCCCCCAGGTAGTAGTCCTATACATATATGGGGTGCTATTTATGCATACTGTGCAAGTTGCTTCAACACTGATCAAGTGAGATCTAATTGAACTGGAGGATGTTGAGCCCACACATTCACACAAAGCCTTTGAAAATAGACTTCACTCCAAAAGCTAGGGGTGAAACTATGAAAAGCGAGTGATTTACAGCATCATTTGTTCCATGAAGGCAGTGAGCCAAAGACCAGAAAGGACCACTAGATTATCCAGTCTGACCTCCTGAATATTACAGGTCACCATCATTAGCAATCACACACTAAACCCAACAGCCAAATGACAAACTATCACTGCCTAAAGAAACTTGACTACTACATGCCACGAGCAGACAAGAGGAGGGACAGACATGCACCAGCGCTTGAAGCTCCCTGGTTTCCAAGGAAATGATTAGATGAGGTAAACTCAGGTAATTCTAGCAAGTGATCTATACCAACATGCGGCAGAGTTGAAAATCCCACAAAAATCATTGGACACTGCTGGAAAGAAATTGTCAGCACCAAAGGAATTCAAACATTTTACAATTTCTTTCACGTCATGAAGAAAGTATTTTGCTAAAAGGCTAACTTGTTTATTAAGAACCACGTGCTTAGGGTCAGTGTGCTACAGTACTGTCAAGCCTTGACTGTGGTGAAACAAGAGAGTAATACGGCATCCCTGATTTGTACAATACTTTGTGACATTTGTTGTCTAGTTGCTAAGAAGAACAGTTTCTATAGTTAGAAACCATTCAAAACAGAAGATAAGAAAACCCATCAAGACCCTCTATACAGTATTAAGGCACTCACACCAACTGCAATGTGTCAATTTAACATGCTATATTCTGTTGGATTAAGTTTGCCAAGGATATTCAGAGTTTCCCCACTAGAATTGTGGGCCGATTGCATATCCAAGGCTCAGATATTTTAATCAAGAGTGACACCTTATGGAGCCTACAAGTTTGGTTTACAACAGGCTCCTTAATAGTATCAGAAAATCATTGTGTCACTATGGGCACACCACTTAACCTATGCCATACCACTTCCCTTCTCCATCCTCTCCAGTGTACAGACATGGGAAGAATAATAATACTAAATGTTTGCATAGCACTTTACACACATGGTCAAACTCATAACATCCTTTTGAGTTCAGATGAAAGAGCTTTTCCTTGCAACAGGTGGCATGCACAACAATCTGACCACCACTTCATGTAGAGTATTTGTTCAAGAATTTTGCTGCACAATGAATTAATGCAGGGGTGGGCAACTTCTGCCCTGCAGGCCAGTTCCAGTCCTTTGCCAGTCTCCACACCATATGCTTATCTGCACTCCAGCACTGTGGATGTAAGCACCAGCTTGCCCCAGTGTGGGGGAGGAGGAAGAGAGCAGGGCAGAAGCAGCCCCAAGCATCACCTACTCACAGGGCTGGTGCACGAGTACTAACTGGCCAGAACAGGGAAAGCCCCTGTACCATGAACAGGGATGTCAATATGTAGTCAACTATACAACTAGCTGATAAGCCTGGATTTATCAGTTAATCTGGTCAACCACCCCTTGCTGCCTCTGTATTGCGGGGGGGGAGGGGGGGGGGGGGGAAGAGAAGAGCAGTGGTGTAGGCCAGGGGACATGCATCAGCAAGGAGTCTGTCTTGTACATTGTTTGGTTTCACCATGTGCAATTGTTAATGAACCTTATATCTCCCCTGTAAGAGTCTTACTAATTGTAACTGAAGTCACATTTTCTACTTATAAACCTGTTTACTAAGTAATTATTTTTTATTTCAAAGTTGATTGTATGAGGTGATTCTATGCTAGCAATGTGAACTTACAGCAATAAAGATAAACATGATCAGGAAAAATTAAGAATGACTACGAAAATACTATTCCTAAATAGTAATCTATGTCAATATTTTCTTCAATACGTGGCCATGCCTCTGGCAGGCACTCCCTTTAGTTGCTAGCAGAAGCCAGCCAGGGCTGGGAGTCCCAGTCCCCGCCCCACCCGGCTTTTGCATGCGACCGCAGGGCTCCCAGTGCCAATCCCGCCCCGCCTCCGCTAGGCTTCGGTCCGGCTGGAAAATCAGAAAATATTGGACATTGCACATGTCCGGTATTTTCTGAATTTTTCTACTGGACAGATACCAGACTGTCCAGTAGAAAACCGGACACGTAGCAACCCTAGGTGTGGAAGCTGGCTTGAAAGCAAGCTTTCCGTGCACGTTGGTTCTGTAGACCTGTCTGCCCACCCTCACTTGCTGCCTCCTACAAAGAAGTGGGGCAGGCATGAGATGATTCTGGGTGGAGCCAGCTTAAGCCAGATCCCCCCAGCACCAGCTCCATGGTGCCACCTGCCCCCTCCTCCCCACACTGCGCTGCTGTCTATATCAGAGGCAGCAGCATGGAGGAAGGGGTGGCAAGAGAGATTGCTGTGAAGCAGCCTGTCTGTGGGGAGCTTGGCCCATTGCAAAGGCTGCTATGCATCACAGAGCAGGCTCTGTCTGGGGAACTTGGACACGTCCCCCTATCCCAGA